TCAAAACATTTATTATTTGAATTTCATGAAAAAATGTAACATCATTTGAAAGATGAGACTTTGTTTCTTGTCAAAAGTAACAATATATAAAACTGGACGTTTCCAGTATGTATATATATTATATATATATATTGCTGAATATTTTATTTATATTATTTATTTATTTCAGATTTGAGCTTATAAAAGTCAACAACTTCATATTTTTCAACTAAAACCATATTGTATCTGAGCAAGAAATTTTCATTAATATGCAAAAATGTGGATATTTTTGGACATGACTGTTATTGCCATGTTATTACTACATTGAACACCCTTTTTAATTAATTAATAAAAAAGTAGTTGATATTTTACTTGAACTACAGTGAAACCACTGTAAGATGTTTTTTTCAATATTTATGAGAAATTTTATTTGAATATATCTTTACATTCATTTGTAAAAAATGATTAACCTCAGAATTACCAGCAATAACGTCATTGAAATCAGTTGAATTCCTTGCCGCTCGAAACCAGTCCAAGTTTATGAAACCTACATATTATTTTTCTAACAAAATTTCAACATTTTTGTTTTCTAACAAAAAGCCCTGTTGTTCATTTGTTTTTTTTTGTCAGTTACAGCTTTTATGTTTATAGTGTAAACAAAGTGTATTTTATAGTGTCATTGTATGTGCATATTCAGGCTACATATCATTTATGAAAGTATTTTTGAGACAAATTTAACCGAAAAATGTAAAGCTTCAGTCGATTGCTGGCTGGGTCACAATATACCTAGAACACAAGAGCTGTTACAATGTACAATATAATGATTACATTTCTTAAAAAAGTAAAATATGCAGAAAATGTATGGTTTTTTTATGCAACATAATTATGTTGGTTATGATGGTCATCATAACCCATTTCCAAGGTTTTGTTCCAGTACTAAAAACAACTCTCCTGAATGCAATGCACCCGTTTCACGACGTGTTTAACGCTCATCAGCATTGAAAATCCTATAAAAATAAAAATGCGAAAAAGGTCTATAGGAGGGTTAAATGCTTAATGCACACAAAAAGGATTCTTGCAGACCGTATGTCTGCAAACAAATGCTGCTGGATGGTTTTTCGAACCTTGTGCACTTGTTAGTTTGCAGATGATCTCAAGGTCAGTTCTGCTGGATGTGATGTATTTTCTGTGCTTTGACAGACGTACGCAGCTCGTCAGAGCACTCGGCCTGCGGTTCATCCCGACATGGAGCTGGTTCCTCAGCCGTCTGATCACAGCGCTCTGTGTGACTGCCACAGATCTCCAGAGGAGCAGAAGAACGAGCTCTGAGAACAGCTGCCTTCCCAAAACTCATTCAGTGACACCCAATCAGAATCAAGCAGGTCTGCTGGGAGTGACATGTTTAACAGAGAATTATGTGCATTAATCCCACTGTTTTAAATGATGCTCTTTTGTTTTTCTCATTTTTACTTTTCCTTTTTTTTTGCACCTGATTTCTGATGCCTGGTCGTTTACTTTACAGAACTGAGTTCTGGGGCCGGGGCCAGTTTTGTTGTAAACTTTCTAATGAATGCTTTAAATGAAGCACATGCATTATTTATATACATGCAATATTGCTGATTGCCCACAGAGAACATCAACACATTCCTAACACTACAATATGTGACCCTGGAGCACAAAAGCAGTGTTAAGTCGCTGGGGTATATTTGTAGCAATAGCCAACAATACATTGTATGGGTCACAATTATAGTTTTTTCTTTAATGCCAAAAATCATGTTCCATGAAGATATTTTGTAAATGTCCTACCGTAAATATATCAAAACTTAATGTTTGATTAGTAATATGCATTGCTAAGAACTTCATTTGAACAACTTTAAAGATGATTTTCTCAATATTAAGATTTTTTTGCACCCTCAGATTCCAGATTTTCAAATAGTTGTATCTCAGCCAAATATTGTCCGATCCTAACAAACCATACATCAATGGAAATCTTATTTATTCAGCTTTCAGATGATGTATGAATCTCAATTTCGAAAAATTTACCCTTATGACTGGTTTTGTGGTCCAGGGTCACATACCATACTGAAAATATCAAACATGCTTCAAAACATTGGATTCTTTGCCGGCTGTGCTGATGATATATAGCAGCTCTGATGCTGTGGAGTTTTTGACTCAAACCTCTGTCAAAGGTCTGTGAACAAAGTGAAGTCTGACTGAAATGATGTTTTATGTGCTTGCCTTAAGCTTTAACACATTCCATTGGTTTCCAGTGTTCGTTTGTGCCAGCTCAGCTCGAGCTCATGGGAAAACCTTACTACAGTATTTTACCATTTTGTATGAATTTGTGTGCTGTGTGAATTATACAAAAACGTGATTTTTTAGAAATAAAGCAAGCATGAAGGTCTACTCCTGCTACTGTGAGCAGATTAGACAAAATTTAATAAAGTCATACAAATTAGCCACCAGTTCGCCAAAATGTGAAATCTGCCACGAGATTGCGACGTCGTATTCTATAAGGATTTTGAAAAACTCTATTTTGTTGTGATCTGGACATACTTTTGTATTAGTGTTTCTATGCATGCATTAAAGAAATAGTTCACCCAAAAATAAAAATTTGCTGAAGATGTTTTCTTCGAAGGCATTCTTATAAAATTTGCTTAAATATCTTAATTTAACCAAGGCCTAGTCCTGGCTTAAGCTAAACCCCGTTGGTGATAAACTCACAAGGGGCCTTCATGAAAGGAATTCAGTCAGTTTACTTTAGTGTGCATCGTCCCATAGAAATGGTGACCCCTTCTCTAAGTGCCCTTCAAGGCACAAAAACACGAATTCACCTGCTGTGAAGAAAATACTCATGATGATCCACTACTTGAAAGGGGGAATACTGTAATTTCATGGTCCACCTGCGGACACAATTCTTTTCAATTGCAATTGAGCGCTGTGCATTAACAAAAGCCAGCAGCATTTTATTGTCTGGTCACCAAGAGATGAAAAAGCCACACGGTGGAGAAGAGACAAATTCACACTCAAACAGATGCATTCTTGATTCGACTCGCTCAGCTCATACTAAAACATTCACACAAAAACACCAACACGAGTAATGGGTACAAAGAAAAGCGTGTATTGCAAATCAGTGCTTCTGTAACACGACTAACTGCAGCAAACGCTTCCTAGCGCATAAATACAGTGACAACAGTCTGGAGTCCACGGCAGAGATCTGGCTGATGGACTAGACTCAGCCTTTGAGTGAAGACATGCCGGCTCTCATGATCTCATCCACCAGGAGGATGTTACTGGCGATGACGGTGCTGCGCAGACGAGAGAGAGACAGATGCATGAGCCAAAAACACACTGACCTATGAAAACAGTGGCAAAGGGGTGTGCCATATTCAGGATTCATTCAGAAACCAAGCAAGCAACTGTCTCTATGAAAGGATGATTGAAAGAACTGTTGCTCTGAGAAACACAAACTGCTCCGGCTTCGTTTGAAACTATTTCAATGGGTAAAACAGGAAAAACAACAACAACGTGTCTAAAACGTAACTTGCTCAATATTAACTTCATGTTTGTTGAACTGTTATATAAAATCAATAACATTCATGATCACGAAAACAGCGCTCTTGTGTGATATTACTTAACTATATCTTCTCAAATATATAAAAAACATTTTTGCTTTCATAAATTAAATTATAAGTGCATCGAACAGGCTTCATCACGCAGCCAATATGTGTTTTTTTTGCATATGCATACTCCATGTCAGCTGTTAAAACAAGTTATCATACTATCGTAGATGACAAATATTATAACTGGCACCAACACCAGTATGAAATACAGAAAAAGTATTTCAGAATTTGCTGAAGCAGGTTGTGAGGAGATCAGCTATAATATTCATTATCAGGTCTACTCTTATTTAAAAAAAGAATATATTGAAAATCATTTCAGAACATTTTCAAAGTTTTTAAAATAACATTGCTACAACGTACTTTTTTTTGTTTAGAAACAAGAGCAATGTCTACGGTAGCATTCTAAACTGTAAAATGAACAAAAATATTACAGTTCAAATAATAGTGTTGACAAAAACAGATGTTTCACTAAAATAAACTTTACATTTTTAGCCTTCAACCCATTATTTAAGAAAAGGGGAAATCATAAATGATATTATAAAACAGATAGTTCCGGTGCTTGATTCTGATTGGCTGAGGCTCCGCTTCACGTCGTACCTAACAACGCCTCTTAGCGGTTATAAATTCACTGTAAACCACGGCTTCTAGGGGCTTACTGCTTTAATTTCTATATTGTAAGGTGTCTGACAGCAGGTGGCGCTCATGGAAAAGCAGAATTCAAGCCACTACTGCAAGATACTTCACAAGATCTCAACTGGACCCAACTAAGTCTGCAAGGTTTGTGAAATTAAATGTTCATTAGTCATTCAAAGATTTGTTTTAAATTATATAAATGCGTATCTGCTGAATGCTGACGGCAAACAAGAAAGTATTATAATGTTTGCCTTTCTATTACTAATAATATTAAAAGCAATCGTTATAATCCTTTTTTGTATACATTTTAATTCCTTTGTTGAACAGTTCTATCTGATTATTAGATAGACTTATCCATATTAGACAGAACTGAACGACGACAGGGAACAAGAGGAAGAATAAAATAAAAGTCTCGAACACATCGGCCAAACTTATCGGCCAATGCCGATATTTGAAAAATGGCAAATATCGGCCGATATATCGGCCTTGGCAATATATCGGTCGACCACTAATCAAAAAGCATGTCTAATTTATTAAAATCATGAAACTTATACAATTTAACATCAATATATTACATCAAGCACATTTTTAGGGCATATGAAATGTTTTATTTATTTTTTATTGTTACCAAACTCTGTTTAAGCATGTTTAATTATTTGAATGCATGAAACAACTTAATTTATTAAATATATATATATATTTTTTTTTTTTACAATAGCCCTACAAAATGTTTTGTTTTTTCCAGAAATTCGGTGTTGTGTATTTTCATTTTTTATATTCACTTTAGTCTTCACCATAGCACCAAATAATTAATACTTAAACATTTTTTCTTTTAATCTAACCTAAAACATGGCCTAAGTTTGAAAATAAATAGCTTAAGTGTTTATGTATTGACTGATTTGTTATTATTGTTCGGTAACACTTAACAGGTTCCATTAACATTAGTAAACTACATAAGTAGAAATAACAACGACTGCATTTATTAATCTTAGTTCATGTTAATTTCAACTTTTAATAATACATAAAATCAAAAGTTGTCTGCTAATATTATTCAATGGAGCTAACATTAACAATAAATTGTTGTATTTTTATTAAACATCATTAACAAAGGATATTAACTACTGCAACAATTCGCTATTGCACATTGTTAGTTAATGTTAACCTGCTTTAACTAATGGGACCTTATTGTAAATTGTTACCTATTGTTCTTTCATTCATTTGAACTTTAATCTTTTGCACTCTAATCTTGAAACACTTGTTTACTTCATAGGCTATTTCTGTGCATTAAAAAAAAAAAAAGTTTTTTTAGTAAGAGATCTTTAATAAAGTTATTTAACCTGTTAGGAGGAAGGAACTTTTTTGACTTACTAAATTATATATTGTGATAAAACCATATATCATGACTAGGGCTGGGTATCGAGTTCGATACTTTCTAGGCACCGACCGAATTGCCTCGATACCATCGAGTATCGAAAAACGTCTCGTCGTTCGGTACCAAATTTCGATACCTAAGGGGTTAATCTCATCAGCGTCAGTGAGCCAATAAGCCTGCAGCACACGACAGATCGATCAGTGTTTGACATCCGCGAGAGCGATTCGAAAGAGCACGGAGCAGTCTGCTCTCTTTAGCTCTCGTGGTACTGTAATACCACCAGTATAGAGTAGCGGGAGCTGCGTGGAGTTCCGATCATATGCAGATGTCCGTTCATACTAACGTTACACGACCGAAAGCGCGTGTTATGTGACCATTCATGCAAACTGTAGCATCATGCTACATAAGATTTATATTCCGCTTTTACTCAAAACTCACTTTAAACCACCATCGAGTGTTTGCAATAACTTCCGATTGCCGTCTAATGTGTGTTTTGGCCATGTAATGTTGCTGAAATTAAATATGTTATTACCTCTGAGTCAGAGCAGCGATCATGGAAGAGAGAGCACAGGCAGACAGCGCTAGAAATTGCTAATGCTCATCAGTAAATCAGTGGAAAATTAATAGAAATCATGATTCTGTCTGAGCAATGCATTTTAAAATGAACACTAACTAGTGTAAATGTAGCCTAACAGATGTGTAAACTGAAGACTATTTGAGCTTTATTAAAACTATTTTGCACTGATTTATTGTGTTGGTTACATTTTGTTCCTTTGTGCAGTGGCTCAGGAGATGAGTCTTTGAGTTTGTATAAACATCAACAAGCTGAAAAATAAAACCAAAGTTTTT